AATTTTTCAAGTCACTTAGAGGAAAGTGGACAATTATCGATTTTATGAGGCCCTTGGGAAAAGTTCAGAAATTGTGAGGTTATATTTGAAAATTGTTTGCAAACAGAAAAGGTGCCTTAAATTGCCTCTTCAGTTCACAGAAATAATAGGTTTCAGCAGAGTTAAGATGCTAGGAGTTTTAGAAGTGTCACTGGGAAAAAAATAATGGAAAGTGCTCAAAATGTTGGTACATCCTTGTAGCTTAGAGTGCAGTATATGCCTATTGTTACTTCTATGCACTAATTACAGTGAAAGGAAAAGGGCAACAATAAATAAAAACCAGATGGGGAAATGTCATCCAGTTAATCCAACTCTGTATCCTTCTAATTCACAGGAAACATTTTATTTCTGGGTCACAATGGCTAGTGCTACAGCACATTTTATATGCTGGGAGTTTTTACAGCAGAGGGAGTTCTTACATTACATCTTCTCCTGACATTTTCTGACACTTTTTTTTTTTTTTAACCTATAACGTACATACATGCACAAGAATATAAAACTAGACCAGATTATTTACTTTGCAACTTAAGAAGTATCAAGTTCACATGGCCTGTTCATGATTCATATTGCTATATCTCCCATGAGCACTCTAAGTGAGAGGAAGAAAAAATTAACACAATCACATCACTAAAGTCTGCTCAGGACTCACAAGAGTACCGATTCAAAAATGCTCAGTAGCTGTTTCCTATAACCTTCACATTCTGTCTGTAGGACTTAGCAACCCAAAGAACTTCATCTTAATGTTATTTTGTTTTGTATGACATCAGCTCAGATTTGTAAATAAAAATTAAAAAAATCTTTAAAAATACAATCCAGCCCATGCAGTATGTATAACACACCCAAACCCAAACATCATTGCTCAAACTCCAAATCTGGTTACTCCAAATCATTGTTCAAACTCCAAAACTGGTTACCAGGAAACAAAGCTGTTGTGACAATGAGTGGGGTGATACCTGCAGAAGTACAGCCACCGCTACATCACATAATGCAGAGCATCATGCTCCTTCCACCTGCTCCTCCACTAATAAATCTGCCCATTTTTTTTAACCCATTTGTCTACAAAAGAGACAGGAGAAATGAAGAGTCCAACCCAGGTTTCATTCTCCACCATGCTACTACTGTTGGTTTCTCTGAAAGACCAACAGATTCCCGCAAAAACCTGCAGATACATTGAGAAAGGGAAGTCACGTCCCAGATGTTGCCCTGCAGCTTGCACAAGTCCCTGTAGACCTTGTCTTAATGCTCCAGGGCTGGTGGTAATGACTTTTTGGACCATTAGCATTTATGTTTCTCCTGGCACACTGCTAAGAGCTTCCTGAAGGAGCAAGCCAGAAAAAGGGGTGGGGATGGGAAGGCAATGTTTTGAAGTCAGGAACTCAGCCTAACCAGAATTTCACAGATCAAGTAAAAGGCTCTAGTTTAGTTTTGCAACTTGATCTCTGATGAATCTCAAACATCTGTTGCAAAAATATGTCCATGTAAATTGGGGTTGCTTCTTTGTTTTTCTTTTTTAATAAAGTTGTTCGTATCACGCACACGCATCTTAGCACTGAAAAAGGCATATTAGAATGCAGATATTAAGTAGGATTTTATGCAGTTCAAAAGATGCCTCTATCTGCCAATATATAATTAACTCAACATTGACATTTTCAATTTAGTGAAACTACCAGGAGCGATAAGTATTTTGGGTGTCAGAGAACTGTTTTATAGGTATACCCAAGGAAAACCACATACATACACCTAAATCAACATCACTCATCATAATATTGACAACAACTATTTTAGAGCACCATTCTAGAATCTGAGAATTCATGGTCCTTTTGCAAACACTAAGGAGCAGAGGGTAATAAAACACCTGCTGGAGTTAGCAGGAGATGGTAAGAGACTTGCTCAGGACAGACAGCAGCTCTATGCAAGCAGCAAAAGCAGATAACTTTTCACTCACCAGAATGACTCACTTTCCTCTCAAAACTGTGCTAAGAGTATGTACTATGAGGAAAGAACACACATTCTGCTAGACTACAGCAAATACTACATTTTATTTACCTCCCTTTGGAAAAACAGAAAACAGAATATACTCTGGGAGTTTTGTAGGGTGTTTTTAATTTTTTACCTTCCTTAGAAGTAGTTAAGATTTACATGATAAAGGACTGAGGCGCCAAGGTTAATGAACTCCAGCCCAGAATTCCTGCTAAGCACTACCAACAAGAGAAACATATCTGAAATTATTTTGAGCATAGTAGATTCCTCATTTCATTTCTCCAAAACATCCCAATTCTTCTGTCCTCAAGTCTCATAAATTCTGTTCTTGGATCAAGCACAGCAAAACTGCAGATCCACTAGCTTTGTGATCCAATAAAAATCAACCCCTATGACCACTTCCTAAATCACTTGCTCGGTCTCCAAATGCCCTTTTTGATGGCAAGAGTAGATTATATTTAGCTCATGTTCCATTAAAAACTGACTGTCTTTAAACAAGGTGTTGTGTGTGTGTTGCCTTTTTTTTTTTATTATTATTATTCTTTCTGTCTTCAGTTATATAAGACTTCACTGCTGTCTTCACTATGATAACACTCGAACAGTCCAAAAAAATACATTTCAGGTGTTCAACATGAAGGAGGTTGTGTGAGTTTAACCTTCCTTGGGATCCTTGTGAGCTTTTTGTATTTAATACTTGTTTTATCTGAAGCCTGTGGAGGTTCTAAAATATTAGAAGACACACTTTCTGAGAACTACCTTTCTAGTAGCCTGAAGATATAGCCTTGATGTTGGGCAACAAAGTTATTCTCTGTAATCCCCTTGATGTTGTAAATGAAAAAGAGGATGGAGCTAACACCATCTGAACTTTGGGCAAACCATTTGCTGAAAAGCACCATCAAAGAACCAAGCCCGGCCAAAAAAAAAAAAAAAAAAAAAAAAAAGGAAAAAAAACTTTAAAAAAGAAAAAAAGCCAAAGCATACACAAAATGAAATTGGTGCAAATTAACTTCATTGTATTTGGAGACTCATACAAAACAAAACCCACCACAGTCTATAAAGGAATGTCAGAGAAGACAAGGATTGAAGTTGTAGCTTCACAGTAGCCATCTTTTAACAGCTTTCCTTTTTCAACACTTTAACCTAAAAAAAAAAAACTTCCTATTGTTATGCCCCTATTCAACCTTCATTCGAAGTCATTCACTATGCATTAATTACCACTTTCTTCAATGCACCGGGAAGCTCCCAAACATGCTCCTGTTTTCAAAGAGGCACACTTCCATGCCTAAGCTTTTTATATGCAGAGCCTGCTGAATTTTTTTCCTCTGCATACTTTGAGATTCCCCTAAATTTTGCATACTGTAACTGTTCAGAAAGGGGGGAGGGGGCACGAAAAGACAAAAGGCTGATTTCATGCTTCCAGAACAGTTGTTTGCATCTCTTTCATTTTTCTTTCCAGCTGTGAGAGGCAGCAGAAGGTTCTTTAGCAGGTGTCCTGCCTGCCCTATGGTAATTTTTAACTTTCCTTCACTTTCTTTTATGTCCTGTTGCGTTTGTAGAGACATTTTCTCTCCCCTCAGTGCCTTATTGCTGTTTTTCCTTTTTTTTTTTCCTTTAAACAAAATATCTGAATTTCCTATATTATGTCATTCTGTTCAGCTGTGACCTCAGATTACAAAATTGAACAAGGGAGAAATGTTGAGAAGACCCAATATTTACAATTAAATCTCAGCTGTTTCCTATTTATTCTGCAGACTTTCATCACTACTAATCTGCACAAGTACCACAGAGACACAACAGACAACTTGACAGACAAAAACATCTCTGACACCAAAACTGAGTATACATATCCTTAATCTTAAATCAGATAACCTCTCTCCTGCTAGTCAGTGTCCCAGTCTCTACATGTCAGCAGTTGTAAGGACTCCCATGGGCTGAATGCAAAAATGAAATTAAACATTCACATAAGTCATTGCAAGGTTACACAAAAAGAAATGATTGACTTAAATGATCAAAAGCGTAATTTTCTATTATAAAGAAAAATCTCTCTTTTCCAAGGCAAAATTGATTTTGGTTGCCTCTACTGATTTTGATTTTATTTGCAAAGCCTGTACATGTGACAAAACATCACATAAATAAAAGAAAAGAAATAGGAGGTGAAGTGAAGCACAGAACTACAAACCATTTGAAGAAATTCAAACACCTCCATCAGAGGGAGATGTTTTCAGATTTTAAAGAAGAAATCCACTGCAATGCAAAGGCCTACATATCTTCAGCATACTATGTTCTGCTCTTATATTGCAAACGTACAAGCAGATAATTTTAATACATTGCATTTGGATTAAAAACACATTTAATTGTAGATTTATTCTGCATATTTTACTCTAATATGTATAAACTAGACAACAGATGACTTAAAGTTAAGAAGGACCGTTATTGATTTTATCAAGGTTAAAAGGTCACTGCCATCTCCATAGCTTTATGGTCACAGTAGTTTGAATAATCACATCACAGTGTGAATGCTCCTGTCCTCATCCCTCAAAAAAGGCCTCATTCACTGAAAATCATACAGGTGATTTTTAATAGCTACTGATGCATTTTAATTATTTTCAGTATCGTGCAAACTTGTATTGCTGCTTTTGCTGCTACAGTCAGTAGGTACTGTAGGATCAATAAAGCATCTACTTAAATTATTGCGAGGAGAGTAATACTGAAGATTTTTTCATTTAACTACCTCTCCCTTGGACTTATGCAATAATAAGAGTCTAGCAGTATATAAGTTTTCTGCAGCACAAATATTTTAAAGGGTAAGATTGATGATAAGTCTCTCCCATTTGAAGTTTTTTTTTTATTATTTTGTTTTTTAAACCTTTTCAACATTTTAGCTTCTGGATTATTAATTCAAAAATCAAACTAAGTTTTCAGTTTACTTATATGACATTATACAACAATAACCTGCTGCTTAGAAAAAATATATTTCCTACCTTCTTCCTGCAGGGAAAGTTGCATCCATGAAAGAATAAAACAGGAAGCAGGTGATAAGACAGGTCTGTGAAAAGTTCTTTCTGCTGAGGGGAGGAAAAAAAAGTTCCTGTTCAATCAGCAGTGTTCAAGTGAAAGGAAGTATCCATAGAAGAAAATATTTCTAAGATAGAAATATTTATAACTATTTTTTAATTATTACTTTTTAATAATACCCAAATGGTAAAATAATAATAACAATAATCGTTTCACTATGCTGTTGTGTTTGTTTTTGTTTTTTAATAATAATTTGGTACTAAAATTGGTACTTTTTTCCATTTTCATAAAGCATTTAAATGCATTTTGAAATGTAAAGCTTAGTTCTCCTACAGTAAAGTGCTGGAGATCCCCTTTTTCCTTATCTGGTTTTGCAAGTATGCCCAAAAGTTTTCATGTGATTTTGCTTCATGTACTACAAATGCATACCCACATCTAGCACCTGGTTTTAAATTTAGAACTAGCAAAGCAGAGAGGACACATGGCCAATGGTTTTCACAGCCCTCCTGCAGGATCAGACCCACTGGATGAACCCACGTCCCTTCTGCACACAATGCCAGGGACATCATTTCTCCCGAGTGCAGCCGTCTGTGAGCAAACGTGAAAGCTGCAGGGTTAATCCCTTGAAGACAGTTACATTTACAGGTCACGGCTTGCAAAATCACGATCTAGTTCTGTATCTGCTATCAGACTAGCAAATTATATTTTATAGCAAGCTCAACAGATTTAAAACAACAATGAGAACAGCCTCTTTGTTTCTCGATTACGCAGCACTCAGCACAATAGCATTCTGGTTCACAGCTAGGATTTCTAGGTGTTACAGAAACATAAACAATTTGTATTATTTCATAATTCTAGGATGTCTTCCATGTCTGAGGAAATCCCTGTGCTGCTGACTGACACACGGTGGAACACTGCACCAGGGAAGGAGCCTCTATAGTCCTGTTCCTTCTAGCTGGTCTCAGCATTAGATATTCTGACTCACATGGATCTTTAGTTTCATATAATGTGGCCATTTGGATGCACTCAAGAGCGGACTTTGCTGTTCATGTATTGTATTTTACAATCTTTCATAGTCTAGAGAATGCCACTGCTGGCTGAAGAATGAAAATTACTCGGCATGGGAGAGAAGGAACCCACACCGTTACACTGTGCACTACTTCACCTTATTTGTTATATTCTCCCCTAATAGTTCAATCCCAAATAAAATTCCTCAGGGCAAGATAACCATGTACCCTATGTGTACACTGAACCCTGATATAAGCTGTTGAGTTTCGGGAAGCCATTCAATTTTATCACAGTGTTTGGAAGGTTGATGTTCTCCTACAGTCACAGCTATCAGAAACAATAGTTTCAACCTTCATTTTAAAAGACGTTCTAAGTATCCAGTTTTCCAGGAAAAGTTTGAATAGGTAGATGATCCCACAGACTATAACCAAAGTAAAAAAGAAAAGTTCTAAACTGAAAATATATGCTATTTTATGCCAGAGATAGAACCCCACTGGAAAAAGTACTTCAGCACATGGATGTGGTAGTCCTGGGGGCAGACACAGCTCGCAATCAGCAGGCAGGACCAGAGGATCTATGGCTGCGGGGTAGGCAAGTACCCAGGAGCCAGTGATTGTCCCAAGGTCACATGCTGAAAGCTGGCACTGCTTTCCTATGGTTCCATAGCTCCAGCCAGCTTCTGTACAGGCAAGGCTGAAAGCATGCATGTATCAGAAGGGGCAGAACTGAAGATTTAAAGGGATAACTAAACAGAAATTAAAAAGAAAAAAAAAAAAAAAAGTGACCTAAGACCTAAGTTACCTGGAAACCCAAATTTCCTCATCTCTCCCATCCACCCTTTTAACTTCAGTGTTTTCCTGATAGTTTGCATTAGGTCCTGGAGCACTTTCTAACTCAAGCAAATACATGTAACCAGAAAGACTGTATACTATTCAATTTCTTAAACCAAACCAAATAAGAATGCATTTCCATTATAAATACAAAGGGTACATTCAAAAAATAAGTATGTGGGGAACTCTTCTTATAAGAAACAAGGCAACACGTACAGACAAAAGGTCTTCTGGCAGCCCTTCGCTATTATTTCCACTAATGTATACTTAGACAAATTATAGACCACCACAGAACACACTTCAGGCTGCATGGTGCAAGCGCTTTTCATGAAGAGCAACCAAAGGGCCTATTAAAACTGAACATTTAACTAATTTGAAAAATAGATCTATATTTGGTTTATGTTTTGGTACAGAAGGTAAAACAGCTTCTGCTGTTTTCATTACACTGTTGATCTTAAAGAGAGGGGTAATTAGGGAATGTTGTGAATCTGCGTGTGCATTTGGTTACAAATAACTAAAAAAAAAAAGAAAAAAAAAAAAACCACAAGTAAATTGAATAATCTGATACCATACATAGAGCCAGAACAACAACCCCGTTCTACAGATGTTCTGGAAAGCTGTGCCTACGAATCCTCACCCAAGAGTAATGCTGTTGGGTGGTCATGAGCAGCCCAAATATCCAACTAGGTGAGTGGCAGTGTCTCTTAGTGATGACAACAGGATTATTTGTGCTGGTGTTCTTCAGTGCACACAGAGAAAAAAAAAATGGTAAGAAACTGCAGGCTAACTATCACCATTTAAAGAGACATTCTTCCCCTCCAGGTACGTTGGAACTATTCCCTTTCTCTGCATTGACAACTGCAATCCTTTTGAGCCAGTTGTTCCCTGAGAACCCAGGCTCTAACTTGAGCTTTCAGGCTGTTGCCTCTGTTTTAAGGACACAAGCCATCTTTGAAAAATTGAGAAAGTCCCTCTTTAAATTATCAAGCCAAATTTGTGCACATGGGGATCAAGAAAAGCTTGAAGCTTCTGCTTCAGATAAAATATTTGTGGCTTTCACCTGAACCTCAGCAGTCATTTTTCACTTTGGGAGCACCACAAAAAAAGGAGCTGGCTCTGGACCTCTGCATCCCCTGTGCAGCACAAACTACCAACATCATGATTGGCAATCCCTAGGGGTAGCGTTTCTCTGTTACTTCCACTCTGAATTGTTGCTGTTTGCTTTGCTGAAACCTTTTTTTAATGCTGTTGTAGTGGATGCAGAAGATGATGCAGGCAGCTACACACACAGAGAGTGACAAGATTGAACACATACCCATTACTTGCTAAAGAACTTGCCAAGAATTAAAAGCATTGATTCACACCAGTTGTGTGCGTGCATTTACAGATATAAAATCATAAGCCAGGGTCTAGAAAAAGTCTGTATATAGTACAAAGACAACAAACATAAGTAAATTTGTTCAATGCAGTGTCATACTTAGTTTACAAGGGTGGAACCTAAAAGACTTGAGCATAGAGCTCTGCTGCTGAACTTTTATTATTTCATTTAAACCCACTAACACCCACCTGAACTAAATGTACCAAAGCTTCAGGGAAGGTAATTTTCAAGGCTGGGGGTTGTAAATCCTTATTTTGTTCCATTAAATCAGCCTCTTGAGCTTCTCCAACTGAAACTGGAAAGCCTTTGGGGCAGGGACTCCCTAGCTACATTTTTATTGTCCAACACGAAATGGTGTGGTATTTCTGAGACACTTTCTCAGAGAGGAAAAAAGGCAAACATGCTGAGTGCTTGCTCACATTTACAAAACAAACCATGAACTTCTAACTTTCTTTTAACTTTCCCTGCAAATTCTCTTTTTAATCATACTTACTAAACACAAGTTTTTCTGTGTGTTTTTTTTTTTTTAATAAATTAAGTCAAATAGGAATGATGTAAACTATGACATTTAAACTGTGTGTCCCAAAGCCTTGTCTGTCTCTTATCCATCTCTTTATGTTTTATTACCTATCTTCAGTACACCTGTGTCCCCATCACCACAAGGTCTCTACTTTCTGATGTATCTAGTATACATCTTTTTTCATATGCATGATAATGCATTATTCCCCTTGTAGGTTTCTTTCTTTCTTTACTTTTTTTTTTTTTTTATACAGAAACAAAGACTATTTGAAGACAATTCACCCAACCAAAGTTCATATCATATTTGATGACAAAGCAGGAATTCAGTCCAAAAATCTGCAATTAACAACCATTCTGTTCCACGTAATTTGTAGTTTTTAGGCTTTATTCCTGCCAGCCCTTAGATATTTAACTCTCAACATGTTCACACACCAAATGCATTGATTTTTAAAAGCCTATTTTATTTCTCTCTTGAAGTCATTGCATTTTATTTCAGGCTTTAGTACCTGAAATATATGCACAGCACATGAAACATTTTATAAGCTTCAACGTGGGTAGCAGAAAAACTCAGCACATCCAGAGATGTAAATTTGTTATTGTGGTCAATTACACAAGTATTAAGAGAATTGAGAGTAAACACTCATCTTGTGTTAATTGCAACTGATTAAGGAGTAGTAAGCACCAAACCCCACGAGCCTGACTGCGTTAATTGTGTGCTTATTTTCACCTGTAACCCATTACTACTTTTCTCATCATTAAAAGAGGAAAATTCCCTGAATAAATGAGAACAATTTTCATTCCCTGAATTAGAAGAGACAATAAGGTGAGCATCACATGCCACAAGCATAACCAAATACAACAAGTGCTTTTAAAGAGCGTTATGGGAAAACACAATATGAAGCAGCGATCATAGAGAACAGCAACACACACTGAGATCCAAGTAACACATAACCACTGTCCCCTGTCAAATCTCAGGACCACTTAACTCAGGGCTGTTAATAGCTAATTGTGTTTCACCTCTAGCTCAAAAAGACAAGTAAAGCCTCTTGCTTTTGGAAGAAAGTAATGTAAAATTGCTCTGAAAAACCTTCATCAAAGAAGACATATATACTATATCGTCCAGTGATACGTGTGTTAAAGTTGGGAGCATTGATCTCAATTACACGTGATCTGAAAGACAAAACACAGCCTACACCATCAATAAAACCAATCTGTTGAGGCAAGTGCCATCTCTTCTTATAGCTGCCTTTATAACTGGATTTAAAACTTAGTCTTTAAGTCCAGTTATGAGAAAAATCATATCTCCTAATGCCAA